TTTCTACAAATAATAAATGGACTAAAACTTCAGGTTTTTCTCATCGATCCGTTACTACTCTACCAATTAATTGATGAGAAAAGTCGGCGACTATTAAAACAAAGGGATTTATCGCCCGTGAGATCAATGGCTATGTATCGAGAATATTGCCAATCGTTTGGTGTATTTATGGATAAAAATTTCGAGCAATTAATAGTAATTTATAGTATATTTCAAAACATTTTGAAAACTTTTAATTTATAAGTTATATGTCATTAGAAAGCATTGGATCAGGAAATGGCTAAACAGTCGTATAGTATATCGAGTATCGATGGGTTAGACGGAAGTCAACGTCATTTTGCCAACGAGTTCACACTCATCGACAAAACTATTTTGCATATATTTTACACCAAACATCGGGAATGCCTACAAATATCCGTATTTCACAAACGCCACGACTTTCTATGGTTGGGTGCGTTACCCATGGATCACATCCAGAGTGACGACATGTCTGTGTCAATGGACTTACATTACGGCAAACATGAGTCGGCTTTCGACTCCTTTAGCCTACAGTCCGTCAAAACCGCGCAAAACGTATCGCTTTTAATACCCGACAAAATCATACACTTTATGTCACAATACAAGTCATCGAAATTCATTGAATGTAACTATAGTTTAGCCAAAGATTTCGCTCACAAACACTCGCAAGACTTGACTGAATCGCGAGATATGGATAATCGGGTCAGAGATGGCTTAACGGCCCTCAAGACCCTGACATCAAAACTTTTGATACCCTTTTTCATCACAAGTGGTACGCTATTGGGTTGGCACCGGCAGTGCGGTGTCATCCCATACACTGGGGACGTGGACACCGGCACGTGGGCTACCTATGCCTCCGTGTCCCTTATCGACGCCTTTGTGCACAACAATGAAAGCCTTGAGTTGTCCTACATTTATGGGTTCATTGAGAATAGCCTACAGTTTGCTATGCATTCAACTCTGGGCTTACGGATTGACATGTTTTTCGCGTATAGGGAGGGCCCTAACGTCACGTTTACGGGTCATATATCCGAGAGAAAGGCGTATTTCCAGTATATGTACCCGGATTTTATCCTCTGTTCAGCTGAATTGGTNATGCATTCAACTCTGGGCTTACGGATTGACATGTTTTTCGCGTATAGGGAGGGCCCTAACGTCACGTTTACGGGTCATATATCCGAGAGAAAGGCGTATTTCCAGTATATGTACCCGGATTTTATCCTCTGTTCAGCTGAATTGGTTGGGCTTAAAGTGTTAGTCCCATGTAATCCAGAAGCGGTGATTAGCGCAGGTATTAATTTAGTCATGTAGTTTAATGTGTACTTGTTAATTATATATGATTTTTATTTATTTTGTAGAGTATGGACCGGAATGGTATAAACCAAAAACATCCTGGGCATGGGACTCATCCCCATATAATATGGGTCCAATCAAGTACTGGGGCCCGGATAAGGCTAAATACGCAAATAAAAAACTTTATTATAATTCAATAGATAATTCAAGTGTAACTTAATTTTTAAAATTGAACGCTCAATTTTGTAATTATATTGTGATCAATAATTTTTAAATAAACATTTACAAATATTTATTATATTATAAGAATAATAATATTTAACATTCAAATTAATACGGTACAAAAATACAGTTTAGAGTTTAGTTTAGACCTCTACAGTGTAGAGATCTACAGAATATAAAATGCTTTATACGTTATTTAAGTCACATGATAAGTTTACAACTTTTAAAGTTAATATATTTCATTGAAAAATAATAAAATAACTCCACAAGGTATATTATTGGCGTTAGCATAATTCCATTTATCCATATATTAATATAAATTTTAAATTTGCATAAGTCAAATCGAAATAGACTTCATGATAATTATTGATATTTTCTTGATGAATGTTTGCAAAATTACTACCAAGATACAATTGCTGAGTCCAATGATACTTAAGGTTTGCCTCACTAATGTGTAAAATACTATTAAAAATAATCATTATTAACATTAAATACAATAAATATAATTAGTGAAAAAATTACACTTTGTTAAGACCATGGGCAAGTAGCGAATTTTTAACTAAGCCAATGGAGATTAGGTACCAGGACAATTGTGCTCCATTATTAGCCACGTAATGATTTTTAATGTTATGTCTGAATAGATCATAAACTAATAGTTCTCTGACATGTATTACAGAGTACTTATAATCATGATCATTTCGTTTTAAATAGTCAAATAAATTATTGTAATCTACTTCAATATAGTTAATTATATTACTACCATGTTTAATTCTTAGTGCATTAATTTTTTCCTATTAAATGAAAGTATTATAATTATAAAATATTTTTAAATAATACATTAATAAACACTCACCAAAGCATCCAGGTGAACGGATCCACTACTTACTAGTATTTTGATGTTGCCATTTATTTGATTTTTACTTAATTCATCAAGGGTATCGATTCTGTAGTCAATGGGAACTTGAATTAATGAATAAATTACTCCCAAATAACATGTATCTAAAATGATAGTCATCAAGATCCACGGATACACTAATAATCTACATTTATCATGGGTTATATATTTATTACAGTCCTGTTTTAAATGTAACACAATAATAGCCCAAAATATTGTATATATTTTATATAATTTGTTGTTTAGTATTAAAAATATAACTAGCATAAATAAAATATTGATTATAATTGATATCCAAATGTAAGTATCAAATGGTTGCAATAAATTATTAAAGTGTGTTATTATAGGCTTTGGGGACGTGAATGATAATGAAGCTAGCTCAATTGGATCAATATAATCAATGACATTTTGTCGATCCGTATTCATCATTAATGATAAGCCTATGTCTGCACTCTAATTATTTAATATAAGTAAGTTAAATGTTAAATATTTAAAAATTGTTATATGAAAATTTAATTTTATTATACCTTGTTGATTAGTTTACCGACAACACCTGGCCATGTGCCATTAATAGGTTTTACGCCCCAAACGCCGCTACAGTTTATGACTTCATACGACATATTAAAATGTGTGGCAATTGTGGTAAATAGCATGTCATCAAACCCACCATTAAACTGATAATTATTTGTTAAATGATTTAATTTTAGAAATATATAAGGTGGCATCTGTCAAATGTATAAAATTATGTAATGTTTTAATATATTTTGTAAAAGTTAAATTTCTAGAATAAAAATAATTACATGGTTCGTGGCCACTTTAACGTGTTTTCCTTGTAAATAAGACATTTATATATTATAACATTGAAAATGTTAAAACTTTAGCAAAATATAAAATACAATTTTTTGTTAAGTATAATGTTTAGTATTTAATAATGAAAAGAAAGTATGTTCTGGTAAGTAAACATATTAAATAAATAGTAACAATATTTCATCATAATAATATTATTGTTTAGGATAATACTGTATTTTCATATTTATAAATAAAATATTTAATATTAAATTTTGCAGCATAATTAAAGACCTTGAACTTTAACTAAGTGCCAGTATACACTGAAATTATCAATACTTTTATGATATGTTTGCATTTATTAAATCAGCTATGAGCTAAATTTACCTTTGTACATTATACTATCCATTAATTTCAAGTTTTTCAATGCCTCTATTAAAGGAATATAATATAATATATTATATTTTAACATTTTCCAAATATATTTTATTTATTAATTTAATTATTTTAAAAACCGTGTTTTTACTTATATTTATATAAATCAATTTTATTGATTTGAACAATCGTATTTAAAGCAAATAATTTTAGAAATTTGGTGTTAATTAAGTGCATAATTAACTTTTAAATAGTAAAATCTTTAAAATATAAATTAAATATGAGTTTATAATATACAAAAAGATCAATCGATGAATAAAAATGAATGACTATTGATAAATAATTTGTGATGAATGTAAGCTAAGTTTGAAAAGTTTTATTAGTTTGAATGAGTAAACTCTGCTTTCACTGTAAAATCTTTTATCAATAGTCATTCATTTTTTTCATCGATTGATCTTTTTGTATATTATAAACTCATATATAGATATTATTTTCACAATAATATTAGTTTTTGTCTTGAAAAAATAATTTAAAATTTGCATATTTATATAAAGCACAAAATAATATCTCCATAATAAATACAAATGGCATAAAAATCGCTCCATATATCCAGATATTAAAAATAAATTTTAAATTTTTGAACGATAAGTCCAAATAGTTCCAAGTATTATCTTGAT